TTGGGGTACCTGCGGATGGCAGGAGCCCCCCGCCCTTCCCTGGAGAGCCCTGGAAAGTGTGTGTCAACGTGCACAGCTTCAAGCCAGAGGAGCTGATGGTGAAGACCAAGGACAGATACGTGGAGGTGTCTGGTGAGTGGGGATCAGGAGGGGGAGGGGAGGGGGTGGAGTGGGGGCTGCAGGTTGGAACAGCCCAGAGGACTCCTCCCAGGGGGCAGCTGTGAGGACTGACGCAGGCGACCTCAGGGCTCAGGAATATGGCCCCAAAAGTTACCCTTAGGGAGAGGTCCCCTCCCAGCCGCCAGGAAAGCTCAGCCTGACCGGGGGCCTTGGGGGCGCCGGCCTGTCCATCACAGCCGGCAGGGAGTGGGAACCGGCCGGATAAGGTGGCGGAGAATTACAGAGGAAGGAGTGACACAGACACAGAAGGAAGCGAAGGACCCCAGATCGAAGGCGTGTTTCATGTGGAGTGTCAGCAACCAGGTGGCTTCAAGGGCAACACTCCCTGTTCCCAGATAAGAACGGAGGCTGAATGGCCATTTTAAGGAGACGAATGGGTAACCTTGACCAGCTTCCTCGCTGCCAGACCCACCTGAGCGCTTCACCTGCAGCCTCTCAGTTAATGTGACCAGAGGGTAGGGGTCCCGTGGGCTCCCCTTCTTACAGGAGAGGAAGCGGAGGCCCAGGGGGGCTCAGGGACCCCCCCACCCCAAGGCCACCAGGGGTTACGATCCAGGCTGCCTGGGAACGGGAGGCCAGAGCGAATCGGCCATCTAGGCACCTACTAGGGATGAAGGGCTGGGCAAAACCTCGTCTGTTCCTTCTCCCCAGAACGCCTCCCCCCAGCCCTGAGAGCAGAGGCCTCCAGGCCCCCTCGGCTGAGCTGGGACCTAGGCGGGATGCGTCCAAGGTCACGCTGTGAGTCAGCAGCAGGAAGAGTCTGGGCCTGCCCACACTCCAGGAGAGGGGAGCAGCTTTCTGTCGCTTCCCAGCAATTAAAGCTCCACTAAAAGGAGCAGGTTCCCAGCAGGCTCTGCCGCCAGAAAAATCAATAAAAGCATCACAAACACGGGGGGGCTTGACACGATAGCCCTCTTTTGTTCCCACATAAATCCTTACTTATTGAACCATTGTTTCATCAACTTATCCAACCAACCATAATCCACCATTGACTCATTTATCTAACCAACTTTCTATCCATTTTTCCATGTATCCAACCCTCCCATCCTTCCAACCATCCACCTGTCCATTCACCCATCCAACCAACCAACTACCTAATCTTTACCTATTACACCAAGTACTGAAATGCTATAAGTGTAATTGATATTTTCTTTTCTCTCCAGGAAGTCACCATAGGGTATATATGGAACACAGGCAATGGCAGTAGAAGTTGTAATATATAGCTGGTTAAGATTTTGTGGAGTGTGATCTCCAACAAAAACTCAAGGGAATCCAAGTCCACTTAACCTCTTTAAGGAATTAATGAATTG